TAAAATGGAATTTCTTCAATATTGGGGTGCCAGATGATAAGAATTCTTCCCAGCAGCAGCAGCAGCAGATTCCTGTGCTCACACAGATTCCTGTGGATGCTGCCACCCGTGCCTGCCCAGCAGTGGGTGCTGGTCCTGGCTCCAGTGGGTCTGGTGCTCCCTCAGGGGATTTTTCCAGCCCAACTCAGTGTCTGCTCCTCTCCCCCTGCAGATCTGCTCGCAGCCTATTGCCAGTGGGTGCCCGAGGCCCTGCACCAGGAGCTCGCCCTGAAGTGGCCACCAGTGGCCCTGTGACCCTTGCTGCTGATGGACTCCTTTGCTCCAGGGTGTCTGGAGAGCTTTTCAAGGGTCTCCGTGGAAATCTGAAACAGATGGACTCACCAACTGTAGGAATACCTTTTTGTAAGCTTTCCCAGAAGCCCTGCCAGCTGTTGGGCTGGTTTTTCATAATATTAATGTTTGGATAATTTTATCCATTGTATTTTGTGGAGATTTTTCTTTTTTTTAACCTGAAGTTTGTCTTTGGACTATATTAGTCGTATGAGCTGTAATAAATATGTAAAATTCTTGGTCTGGATGGGAGAAATGTTTGCTGTGTGGGATACTGCAGTGAGCAGAATATCAGAGCTGTGCAGGCGCCTCTTCACAGGTGTCAGACAGAGCCTGGGCAGCAGCTCAGGAGACAGGAAGCACAAAAATGAGGAAACTCTTGGGTTGGGATAGGAATGGTTTAATTAGTGAAGGGAAGATTGAGTTTACTTTCCCCTTCACCTGAATCTTTTGGGTCTTGGTAAACCCAGTGCTCACTGTGCTGCTTGTGGGCTGCTGCTTGTGACACTGCTGCAGGAGAAAGTGTGGACAGGGACCCTCCTGTCCCTGTGTTCTGAAGGGAACTGGCACAAGAAACTGGCTGGATGTGTGTCCGTAATTCCAACATGCTTCAGGGGAGAGGCCAGAGCACAAGCAAGCATTAAAAACATCTAAAGCTGAAGAAACAGCAACTTTAGATCTGCAGCCACAAGGAAAGCAGCCCATTGGTGTGTTTTCAGTCAAACACTGGGTTTTGGGGTTTGGGATGTCCCCAGGCAGGAGGGTGCTGGGGGTTCCTGACAGGGCACCTTTTTTTAGCAGGAATTGCAGCACAAGTCTGCAGATTCTGCTGCGGGGAGGGAAGAAAATCAACAGTTATGGAGTGTATTGGGAAATTTCGGCTCTTGAAAATGGGGCAGAAAAAAGCAGAAACTACCGGCCTTGCAGGGCAAGGGCAAAAACTGGAGATGCCGGGGATTGAACCCGGGGCCTCATACATGCAAAGCATGCGCTCTACCACTGAGCTACATCCCCTCGATGGAATCCTCTCTGCTCGCAGTGTATACAGCGATAGCGAGAGCCGCAGACCGGGCCTGGCGGTGACACCGCGGTGACAGCGCTGTCATCCCGCGTCCCCCGAGCCCCGCGCTGCGCTCCGGCCGCGAGAACGGAGCGGAGCAGCGGCAGCTCCGCCTGAGGCGGGACTGTACCTTTATACAGTGAGCTCAAAAAGCAGCGTTTGTACCCGTCCTCGTTAGTATAGTGGTGAGTATCCCCGCCTGTCACGCGGGAGACCGGGGTTCGATTCCCCGACGGGGAGGTGCAGAATATTTTGCCCCCGGATGCCATTTTTTGTGGGTGGTACCGCGACGGGGTTTGTTTGCGACGCCGCCGTGGAATCCACGCCGGAGGGGCCGGACAAAGCCGGCAGAGCCGCGTTTTGTGCCAGGGGAAGGGAGCGGAGTGCCCTGGGGTGCGTGCGGAACACTCCGCCGCTGCCGGTACCTGGGGGCTCCCCGGTATCCTCGGAGTGGACATGCCAGTGGGAAGGTGCAAATCCCCGGACAGTCCCGGTACCGGGCGGCGGGACCCGCGCGGGAGGGCGGGCACCAACCGGGCAGCGGCGCCCGTGGGGGGCTCGGGGCGGAGTCGTATCCACGGCCAGCGAGGGCGCTCTTGCCCGCCGAAATAGCTCAGTTGGGAGAGCGTTAGACTGAAGATCTAAAGGTCCCTGGTTCGATCCCGGGTTTCGGCAGAATCTTTTGGGTTTTATTGGTTTGTTTTTTTGTTTTTTTTTTCTTATCATCAAAACGGTTCCTTTTGCTGCTGAGTGGAGGTAGCAGGGGATGCTGTCCCTGCGTCGGGCGGCTCAGCCGGTGCCATCGTAGGCGCTCCACGTGCGGGATTTTTGTGTCAGGCGCCGGTTCCCGAAGGGCGGCGGTGATGGAGCGTGTCCTGCGGCCGCCGCTCGGGTATGACCTGGTCTGCGGGGGAGCTGTTTGTCGCCGTCCTCGTTAGTATAGTGGTGAGTATCCCCGCCTGTCACGCGGGAGACCGGGGTTCGATTCCCCGACGGGGAGGTAAGCAATACTTTTGTTCCTTTAGTTTATTTTTTTTTTTTTCTCACGGATTTCTCTGATTTTCGGCGGAGCAAAACCATTCGGTTTTCTGTGTGCGAACCAGCACGTTCCTGTCTTTTTGAGGGCTCCCTGAGGATGGCACCAGGCTCTGTACACCGCAGCACTGCCAGGGCTCGGTGTTGCCGCTCCCCGCACCGGGGCCGGCTCAGCACAGACCTGGCGACCGGGCAGGAAATACAGCGCAAGCAGGGGGATGTAGCTCAGCGGTAGAGCGCATGCTTTGCATGTATGAGGTCCCGGGTTCAATCCCCGGCATCTCCACGTGGTTATTGCTCTTTTTTCCCTTTTTTGCTGATGTTTTATCCAGTCAAAGTCACTGCGTCCCGCTAAGAAGCAGCAAACTAACAATGCGGCCGAAATAGCCCCACAGTGGCACTTCCCAGCGGCATAAAATGATGTTTTTTGGCTTTTTTTTCCCATTTGGTTCTCCTCAGGCCTGTGTGAACACACACAGCTTTGTGTCTCACTGGTGTCCCATTTGTGCATTAATGCACACAGGAGGACAAAAAGAAGCACAAATCATCAAACCCCAAAATGCAGGGGGACAGTGGCCACTCGTGGCAGGCTGACACTGCCACACTCCAGAGCCTGGCAGAGGTGCAGCCCTGCAGCCACACTCAGCTCAGGGGCTCTGCTCCACATTCCCAGAGGCAGAGGGGAAGGACAGAGGCCAGGACACCACAGCTGGCTGCACTCCTGAGCACTCAGGAGCTTCTCCTGGCTCTGCAGTGCCCACTCCCTCTGCTGTCCTGTCAGCCCTGAGCTCTCAGGGAAACAACCGCCCTGCTTCGAACTCCTCGGGCTCATGGGGAAACTCTGTGAGGCTGGTAAAGCTGGGAACCATAGCACAGCTGAGAGGTTTGGTCCAGAGAGACCAAAGCCCATGCAGAGCCTGCTTGAGACAGCTTTGATGGACACAGCTCAGTGGCAGCTGCTCCCTCTCACTGCCTGGTTACCAGCAGCAGCAGGAGCTGCCCGCTGACAAATACAAAGTGACATTTCCTGCCATAGTGGCTGGAAAGCTCCTTGTGCTGTTTATTTACTCATCTTACTTCCAGTTGTTATTTTGAGCCAGTGTTTGGCTACAGCGCTGCTAAGTGTGAAGATCCCTGTTGTAAATTACTCCCTGGCAGCTACACTTCTGGAATGTGCCCTGCATGTCAACGTAAGAGACAGTTTGTAGTAAGAGGCATGCAGTAATAGACTTTTTGTCACAAAACACTTTCCCATGTGCCTTTTTGGTGATTTTCTGACCAGTCCTAAGTACTCACCTTGTAACTAAAAGAACAAGCTTAACATTATTAAGCTTAACATTATTATTCATTTTCCGCTGAGGAAAGACCTAAACCTGGAAGGATTCTCCAATTTTTGATGTTTGTACACTCTCAATGCACAGCATCAGCCACGGAGCACTGAGAAGTAACCAAAAGACTTCTGTGTTTGTTTTTTTTTCCATCTAAATGACCGAGTGTTTGAGATTATTATCATACTACAGCTGTGGTGAGCGTTAATACAAACACAAAGCAGCAGAGGCCAAAGAGCTCCCCAGAGCATTCCCCTCCATGTGTCAAGCAGACACAGACACTTTTCCTCAAACCACAAAGCTTTTGCTGGACCTCTGCTCCTTTCCTGCTGGTAAGCAGCCCTGGGTGTTATCAGTGTCCCTTCCATTTTCCTTGGGCGCTGCCAAATGAAGGATTTTTTGGGCAAATCGAACCGAATGGCACTGCCTGAATCTTGCAGACAAAGCTCCATTCTGTTCCCAGCTGTTGTTTGGAGTTGCTGTGCAGTTTGGGTTCTCTCACACAGAAATAACACTCGAGGCGTCCCTCGGGGTAAAGGGAATTCCTTCCCTCAGGAAATCCCTCATGGTGTGGCCGCGGGCAGAGCCGGCCCTCACCTTGCCCTAGGGGTAGAAGCCAAGGAGGTGTTTATCATCCAGGGGCCCAATTGCAGGGTTTAAACCCCTGAAGATAATGAAACTTTTTATGTTTTATATAAATAATACTCGAGGCGTCCATCGGCATAAAGCCACGAACTCCTTCCCTCAGGGACCCCCTCACGGTGTGGCCGCGGGCAGAACCGACCCTCACCTTGCCCTAGGGGCAGAAGCCAAGGAGGTGTTTATCATCCAGGGGCCCAATTGCAGGGTTTAAACCCCTGAAGATAATGAAACTTTTTATGTTTTATATAAATAATACTCGAGGCGTCCATCGGCATAAAGCCACGAACTCCTTCCCTCAGGGACCCCCTCACGGTGTGGCCGCGGGCAGAACCGACCCTCACCTTGCCCTAGGGGCAGAAGCCAAGGAGGTGTTTATCAACCAGGGGCGCAATTGCAGGGTTTAATCCCCTGAAGATAATGAAACTTTTTATGTTTTCTACTTTTAACGTGCGGCTGTGTCTCCCAATTGGGGTCACTGAGATGGCCCAGCCGTGGCCCCGCTCCGGCGGCTCCAGGCCGGGTTTTCCCGCCGCTCCCCGTCCCGCGCGCGGCAGCCACAGAGCACCCGCGCAAGGCGCCGATCCCTCCGCGCCGCTCGGCCGCGCTGCCCCCTCACCTAACGCAGGAGAGCGGAGGCGTGCGGCGCGAGGAAAATAGTGCGCAGCGGAGTGATCCGAAGGCGGGGGCGGGGCGCCGGGGGCCATATAAGCACCTAGCGGAGGGATGCGTGGCGCAGTTGGCGCTGGGTGAGGTTTGTGCTGTCGGCTTGGCCGAGCGGCGCCGCGGTGAGAACTGGGCGGGAGAGGGCCTAGATACGGGCTGGGCGTCCGGGCGGAATAGAGGGGTGTGTGCGCTGAGGAACTGCGGCTGGGGGCGATGGCGGACAGTGATGGTGGGGGGAGGGCTGGGACGTTGCCTTCCCCTTTAACGGCAGCACCGCGAGGCGGTGGCGGGCGAGGGCCGGACCGAGCGGCAGCTGGCAAAATGGCGGCCGCGCAGGCGCAGCGGTGCTGCAAGATGGTGGCGAGCGCGCGCCCCGGGCGGGAAGGGCAAGTGGGTGGAGACCCCGCCCCTCTATGGTTGTGGGCGGGGCTTGTGCTGTGACACGGACGGGGCGTAGCCCCGGATGCGGGGAGCAGTTCCTAAAGCACGGCGGGTTTTCCCTTTTCTAGGGAAAAATGCAGATCTTCGTCAAGACCCTGACTGGCAAGACCATCACCCTTGAGGTCGAGCCCAGTGACACCATTGAGAATGTCAAAGCTAAGATCCAAGACAAGGAAGGCATTCCCCCTGACCAGCAGAGGCTGATCTTTGCTGGCAAGCAGCTGGAAGATGGCCGTACCCTGTCCGACTACAACATCCAGAAAGAATCCACTCTGCACCTGGTGCTGCGCCTGCGGGGTGGCATGCAGATCTTTGTCAAGACCCTGACTGGCAAGACCATCACCCTTGAGGTCGAGCCCAGTGACACCATTGAGAATGTCAAAGCCAAGATCCAGGACAAGGAAGGCATCCCTCCTGACCAGCAGAGGCTGATCTTCGCAGGGAAGCAGCTGGAAGATGGCCGCACCCTGTCCGACTACAACATCCAGAAAGAATCCACTCTGCACCTCGTCCTGCGCCTCAGAGGGGGCATGCAGATCTTTGTCAAGACCCTGACTGGCAAGACCATCACCCTTGAGGTGGAGCCCAGTGACACCATTGAAAATGTCAAAGCCAAGATCCAGGACAAGGAAGGCATCCCTCCTGACCAGCAGAGGCTGATCTTTGCTGGCAAGCAGCTGGAAGATGGCCGCACCCTGTCCGACTACAACATCCAGAAGGAGTCAACTCTGCACCTTGTCCTGCGCCTGCGCGGTGGTAACTGAACCAGCAGCTGTGGCTTCCAAATAAAGGTTCCCTGCACTTGTTCATTCCAATAAAGCTGTTGCATCTGTAAAAGTCTGTGTCCCATGTTACACGAGCAGCCGTTCGTGACATTGCCCAACCCCAGGTTTCTAATAAACAATAATTACGTAGCTTTCCACAGACAAAGGAGTTGCAAAACTGCCTTATGCAAGCAAGGCTTCCACATTCCTGGTGGTTGTAACTAATCCCTCAGCTGGGCTTTTCCTGGGGTTGTATAAGTGCTCTGATACCTGGCTGCAGCTCAGTGCCCGCCTGCAGATGTTGTGCAGCTGTGGTGTTGTGTAAGCAGGGATGTGCAACGGGGAGCTGTGGATGCTCCCCAGTCCAAGGGCTTTGAGATAGCTCTTGGTTGCCCAGCAACTGCCCTTATTTTGGGATTAGTGGAGGAACATCAAAAGGGTGATCCTGCAGCTCGGTCACAGGATGGGGTAACAGGATGGTCCTGCAGCCCTTGGGCTTGGGAAGTGTAGATCCCATCAGTTATGGGCTGGACTTGTTTTTTTGTCAAGCTTAATGGCATTAAGCAAGCAGTAGTTTCAGATGTACTTATTGGAAACGTGAATGTGCTTCATTCCAGCTGTGTCCCAAATGGAAATGCTGCTGAGCTGAGCTGTCACAGAGCAGTTCCTGTGTGCTGCAGAAGCCCTGGCAAAAGGGAAGTTGCTTCTGCAGTATTCGTGGGGGTTGCAGGCAGGGCTGATGAGGAGTTAACTGTGTCTGTGCTGGGTGTGTGGAGAGGAAAAGGGAGAGTGATACAGAAATGCTCTTTCCAGAAGTGGGGACATGGACTCACCTGTGGAAGGGGATGTGGTGGGAGCTCAATAATGGTCTCAGCTGGTGGCTGCTTCAGGGGGCACAAAGGGATCTTACACTGCCTGGGTGGGGAAGCAGGGTGTGGCTCCGGTAACACCAGTTCCTTTCGCTGGTCTGCCCTGTACAGAGCAAGTTCAGAGCACCAAGATCTGTGATGTGCCAGAGGAAACATTTGAATGCTAAAGAGCTAAATGCTGTGTGGGTGGGAGCTGGGGCTGTGCCATCCTGGACATCCTGTCCTCCCCCACAGGAGTGCCCCGGGCTCTGCCCACGCTGCCCCGGCTCCTGAGCTGAGCCCCAACAACTGCAGGGAGCAGCTGGCCATTGTGTGAGCTTCCTGTCCTCTGGGACAGCACAATTCCCAAACTGAGCACAGCTCCCTAAACACAAGTGCAGGGGATGCTGTCTCTGGAATGCAGGGAGCATAACTACAGTGGTTCTGATTTGAAGGCATCTGACTGCCATTGGGGAGAGCTGCAGGAGGACACAGGGTGTTTGATGAATGTCAAAGCCTCCACAAAGGACTACATAGCCATGCTTTAAGAAATCCTTTTATTTTCAACGTCTCAGTAAAAACCCTTTTCAATGTCCTGTTTAAAAACCACGATGCTGTAATGGCGTGGAGCAGGCTGCAGCCAGGCAGAGCAGCAAGCCTGGAGGAGAAACCTGTGCTGTGGCCTCATGAGCAGGGTCAGCCTCTGTTGACCACACAGGAACAGTGTGAAGTTGTGCCAGGAGGGTTGGAATGGGTGTTAGGGAAAAGTTCTCCCACAAAGGGTGGGCTGGACAGACATCCTGGGGCTGGCCACAGCAACGAGCCTGCCACACTCCAAGGTGAGTTTGGACAACACTCTCAGGCACATGGTGGGATTTTGGAGCTGTTCTGTGCACATTTTTGACTGGATCCTTGTGGGTCCCTTCCAGCCCAGCACATTCTACAGTTCTGTGACCTCTGCAGGGTTTGAGGAACCTCAAGGCTCAGTGTGGCAGTGCCAATGCTTCAGAGGCAGCACCCGTGAGCAGAGACCACAGCTGGGGTGGGATCAGCCATGCAACAGCAAAATCTGATGAGAACAGCAAAGCTGCTTGTCAGCTTTAAGGGAGTGTTGTTCTAACCGTGGCAGAACACGCTGTTCCCAGAGATCTTCTCAGGTCGTGTTGTTCTGCATTGCCTCAGGGAATCTCCTGGATTTTATTGGGACATTTTGGATTTGAATTCCTTTCACGGCGTTTCTTTGTAAAAGAATGTCTTTATAAAAGCAAATCCAGTGCCTACTTTGTGCTGTTCTGAAGGCATTGCTGCTGGGAGAGGGGCCCATCCCACAGTGGAGACCAGCCAGGATTGAACAGAGACATTGGTTAATTGATCTGGTAATTAAACAGAGGCAACTGTCAGGGTAAAAGGTTTAGAAGTGGAAAAAAAAGACCCAGTTAAGGGTAAAGATACAAATGCAAATGTTCCACTGAGGTGGGGGCCATGGCCGGAGGCAGGTCCTGTGCTGTGCTGGGCCCTGCCTGGTGGCAGCCATGAGATTGTCCCCTCTCTTCAGGCAGGTCAGTGTGTGGCAGGTGGAAGCACTCCAGCTGCCAGATGTGTTAGCTCAGCTGGGACAATGGGATGTTGCACATGATTGATTTAAAACAGCCTGTCACAAACTGGACTCTTTATTTTCTGCTGCCTTCTAGATGTATCTGGGGATGAGTCTCAGCGAGGCTTTTATTCAGGGCCATGTTCAGATGCACAAGATGGATAAAAAACTCAGTTTTTTGGAAAAGCAGAGTTGGGTTAAATGTTAAAACAGAGGCAGGTTAATGGGTGATGGATGTTTCCTCCTCAGGCAAGACATACATATATATACATATACACATGAATACAAACACGTTTATGTATTTTTTTTTGTCTAGTGAGAGAACAAGAAGGAATGGCTTCAAACTGGAAAAATAGGTTTAGATCAGATACTAGGAAAAAATCTTTACTGTGGCAATGGTGAGGCACAGGGACATATTTCCCAGAGCAGCTGTGGCTGCCCCTGGATCCCTGGCAGTGCCCAAGCCCAGGCTGGGCGGGCTGGGAGCAGCCTGGCACACTGGAGGTGTCCCTGCCCATGGCAGGTGGATCGAGATAATCTTTAAAGTCCCCTCCAACGCAAACGATTCTATTCTACAATTGCATGACTGAGGGATATTTTATCTATCTATGCATTTATTTATATATTTCCTCTCGGTATTTTACCGTTTTGCCCGTTTTTCCGTGCTCACTCACGCGTTTCCATTGACGCTCGCTTTCCCTTTCTCGTCGCGCCTCCCGCGCGGGGGGGCGTGGCGTAGCTGTGGGCGTGGCATCCAGCCACCGGCCCCGCCCCGTCCGGCACGGCCCCGCCCCCTCAGCCGGGCCGGGCCGGGCCGGGCCGGGCCGCGGGGCCCTCCATAAAGCGGCGGGGCCCGCTCCGCTCCCGGCTCCGCTCCGCTCCCGGCTCCCGGCTCCGCCCCGCCATGGCCGTGGCCCACCGCAGGCTGTCCGTGGGGCTGGGGCTGGCCGGGCTGGCCTGCGCGCTCCTGGGGGGCTGCCTGCTGCTCCTGGGGCCGCTCATCATCCGGCAGCAGGTCATCAAGGTCAGCGGGGCGCGGCGGGGGCTCCGCTCGGTGCGGGGTGCGGCGCGGAGCGCGGTGCGGAGCGGGATGCGGTGCGGGGTCGCTGACAGTGGAGCTGGAGGGTGCGCTGGAGGGTGCGCTGGCGGCCGTGTGCGGTGCGGTGCGGGGCGAGGCTCGGTGCGGAGCTCGGAGCGGTGCGAGGCGAGGCTCGGTGCGGGATGTGGTGCGGAGCGGGGTCGGTGCAGGGGCCCAGGGGGATGCGCTGGAGGCCGTGTGCGCTGCGGGGCTCGGTGCGGGGCTCGGTGTGGTGCGGCCGGTGGCCGGAGCCGGTGCGGTGCGGGCTGGGGCTGGTGCGCCTTTCCCTTGTGCAGTGCGGTCCGGAGAGCCGAGCGCTGGAAGAGGCAGCGTCGCTGCTGCAGCTCCGAGCAGCCTCAGGCTCTTCCTCTGGACAAAATGCGGGTTTGGGGTGTTCCACCCTTGGTGACAGTAAATGTGCCCGGAGTGAGCAGGTGAAGCAGCCCTGGGCTCTTTGCATCACTGAGATTAGCTGGGGATGCCGTGCTTGGCAGAGCATCACCCTCAGCACCGACACTTCCTCCCTTGCCTCCTGCCTCCACCTGCAGCGCCAGTTATTCCTTTCATAAGTAGATGAGCACGCTGCCGGGCTACACGTGAGATGCTTTCCCAGCTGGAAACAGGAGCTCTCCAGAGGAGCCCTGTGCACGGAGCAGCCTCCAAGTTATCCTCTCTCCTTCAGAAATAAGTCCTTCAGACTGAAAGCCTGAAGAGTTGCTTCTCTGAGGACCTGTTTTATCCACAGGATAGGTCCTGAGGCTGGAGAGGGTTTGTCCCCAAAATGTGGGGCTGTGGATGGGGTTGTTGCTGTGTTCAGTAACTCTGCAGTTTTATGAGCCGGCACTCCTGTCCCTGCTGCTGGGACACCTGCTGTAATGTAGAGCACATCCCCACATTTAGCCAAACGTTTTTCTCCCTGTCCAAGGCAGGGATGCGCTCCCTGCCTTGGCCTTTCTCCAAGCTTCCACCTACCCAGGCCAGCCCCTGAAAATCTGCTTCTGATGAAAGAGGTGAACAAACACCTCATAGCCAATGGCTGGCGCCACGCGTGGTGCAAAGGCTCTGGAAAATGACCTACTTAAACTCACTCCTTGCAAGGGCAGAGCCACACAGCCCTGTGCATCAAACAGCAGAAAGCCTTTGTTCAGCTTCAGGACATCAGGAACTGGTACCTGCAAATAAAAGGCTGAATGGCCCCTGCAGGGCAGAAATGACACTTCTTGTGCAAAAGCCTCCCTGCCCTCTTTTTAGCTAATCCTGATTTTTTCAACCTAATTAGCTAAGTTCTGATAATTTGCAATGAGAACAGAAGATGAAGAAAAGATCAACCCTTGTTTCTCCTCCTTTCATCTCAAGCCCTTGGTCTCCCCATCTTCAACATGACACAAAATTACCCTGAGCTCCTTTTTTTTTTCTATTTCACATTAAGCCTAATAACTGAGTGATGACAGGTGATGAGAAACACTCAGGTCCTTACTGAAACTCCTGGGCTGGCCTTCAGTGTGGGTAAGAGGAGCTAGAAGGGCTGGGGTTGGGCAGGTAAAGGCTGGTTTGCCCATCCTGGCCTCCTGAGCTCTGTCAGGATGGTGTATCCCAATGGAAAAGCACTTATGGACAGGTGGTTGTTACCAGGATATCTTTGGGTGAAGTCTGCAGGGAAAGCAGGGAGCTTGGAGCCTGCCCCATCTGTACTGGGCTGCCTGTGGGGTTGGCCCTGCAAAACCTGGGGAATTTTGCTTTTCTGGGAGCATCTGGAATGGCACAGACCTGCACACGGTGAGGCTGCACCAGCTCATCCCTCTGCTCCCCTTGGGGGCTCGGATGCTGCCCTGGCAGCAGGAGCAGCACGGTCCTCGCCGAGGTAGGAGGGTGCTGAGAGGATGTGGAAGGTGAGGTCTGAGCTGCTCCTCCCAGTCTGCAGGGCAAACCTCAGCTCGGTTTTACTGAGCAGGGTGCCTCCCTGCCTCCTGGAGAAGCAGGATTCGGATGCTGTGCTGGAGCTGCTGCTCTCCTGGCCCCATCTGGAGCTGATGGGCAGTAACCAGTTCCTTTCAGTTCCTCAGGAACAAAGATCAGCCTGGTCAGGAGGGGTCAAACAACTCAGTGACCCTTTGCAAGCCACCTAGTTGACAAATAGTGTGCTTTTATTTCAGACATATGACCGTGTTTGTTTTGACCTAAAAATAGCTTAAATTAAAGCTCTTTTACCCCGCGTTGGGGATCTTAGGAGTACCTTGAGCTGGTGAGCCAGGTGGGGAGGGAGCTGGGAAAGGCAGCAGGGAGCTGGGATGTAGCTCCATCTCACTGGGTGCTTCTTATAAAAGTAAATACATATGCAACAAGTGGTCAAGGGAGTGCAAGACAGAGCAAGCAGCTAAAGGAAAGGAGATGTTCTTGATTGTAAACCATTTGAGGGAATCAGGGTTGTAAAGCAGACTCAATAAAGATCCACCCTATTACTGTTCCTTTGCCATGAAATCCTTGAGGCTGGCAAGTGGTGGTGGGAAGGGTTTGCTAGGTTAGATGGGTTAAACAGCATTCTGGAGATGTGTTCCCAGGGATTGGGGTGGATGAGTGGCTTGCAGGGGCCTGCTGCTCACAGGTAGCTCAGCCTTGCCATAAAATTCCTCAAGAGAGAACAGGTGGTATGGGAAAACCTCTGGCACCTCAACCCCCTGTGTCAGCAAATATGTGCCCAGTGAGGGGGAGCTGCTCCAGAGCAGGGGCTGTGGAGCTGCTGAGCTGCACCAGCACAAAGCCCACATCCCTTCTCCTGTTCATGGATCAGCCCCACTTTCATAATCTGCCTGGGTTACCTAAGCAGGGACAAGGATCTGTGCTCCCAGGAGAAAAGATTGTGATGGAACACATCCAAAGTGGGTGTTCAAGAAGGAACAGGCTCCTGCCCTCCTGCAGCACCCTGGAGGCAGGGAGGGAGTGGAGGCAGATGTGCCCTTGTACCAGCTCTGAGCTGGGGAGGGCTTAGGGTATCTCTGAACTCCTGCAGGCATTTCCCAGCACTCAGGACAGTGATATGGGAACAGGACTGTGCCTTGCCTTTGACCTGCCTCATGATCAGCTGTGAGTCAATGCAGGCTGGCAGCTGAGAGCAGGCAGGGGTGTCCTGGACTGTACTGCCTTGCCATCCCAGTTCTCCATCTTCTTTCTGGGAATCTGGTGGGCTCTCCCTGCTGGTACCCAAGCAGTTGTGAGGATAGCTGTGCCAATTCTTGCTTGCTTTTAGCTGTGTGGAGCTGCCAAACCCCCAAGCAAAGGCCTTTGGGACAGACAAGTAAAACGTGCAGAGTAGTGAATAATTCAGAGCCAAGCTTGCAGCACATCAAACACTCGGAAACCCTGTGGGCAGGATTAGGAGAGTTAAGCCTGAATAAATAAGCCAGCAGACATCCTGGCTTCTAAGCATAAACCTGATGCTTCTGCACACACAGGATTTCTCACTGTATATCTAGCTGGGTTTGTCTGCCAAAAACACCTGGATCCTCTGGAGAGCATCTGTACCCGCCACCTTCAGCTGTGCCTCACACTGGGCTGGGGGTGGATGTGTTCACCTGCAGCCACAGAGCCCAAATGTTGTGTCCCTTGATTATTTTTTTTTGCCTTACAGAACGTCAGGATCGACCCCAGCAGCATCTCCTTCCAGATGTGGAAAGAAATCCCTGTCCCTTTCTACTTGTCTGTGCATTTCTTCGAGGTGCTGAACCCCAAGCAGGTCCTGCGGGGACAGAAGCCAGTGCTGAGCCAGCGTGGGCCCTACGTGTACAGGTCAGGTGCCACCTGTGCCCCAGCCTGGCATGAGCCTCACCTGTGCTGCCTGCCAGGCTGCTGCCTGGCTCCCCTGGCAGGAGGACAGGGCATCAGCAGGCTCTCTGAGAGCCCAGATGTGCTCGGGGTTTTGAAGGGACCCAGATGTGCTCGGGGTTTTGAAGGGACCCGGATGTGCTCTAGTTGCTCTGATCTTGCTAAAGACACAGGCAGGACCTCTGGCCACTGAGACAGGGAGGTTGGTAGGTGCTCCACTGAGTTGTGGAGCTCAGCCTTTTTCTGGGGCTTGTTGGGCAAGCAGACCTGGGCTGATAGAGTCCAAACATGGGTGTGAGGGGTGTTGGTGTAGTGGTGGGTGACCCTGTCTTCAGAGTGCTCTTCTTTTATCTTCACTGTGCATTTAAGAGCCCAGCTCTTGAGCTGGAGTCGCCTCAATATCAAATTTATGGGCCAGCCTAAGTCCTTATCTAACATGATACCTGAACATGCCCAGCTTGAGTGCTCTGCTCATGGGAGCCAGCATGGAGCACTACCACTGGGTCAGGCCCACACACAGCAGGACTGGGCCTGTTTGAGGATGCTGCCCAAAGCCCCAGGTGCTTCTCAGCACCTGAAAGTGATTGATGTTGAGTTGAGTGTGTGAACGCTGCCATGAGCAGTGATCTTCAGTTTATTAGTACCTACAGCAGCCGGGTGAGGTTGAACAGCAGCCTAAGCAAGCTCATGTGGGAAGCTTACTGGTTAATCCAAAGCTGTTTGAGCGGTGTGGGGGGACACCTGCAGTATGTATGTGCCCTTGTTTGCCCTGGCCTTGCCAGGTCCCCCCCCTGTGGTTCTGTATGTTGCCATTGCATCGCTCTCCTGGCTTGGGAAAAGCTTCACTTGCTGTAAATAAGAATAAACAAAGGGGCAAAGCTTATTAGTGTCCTTGTGTTCCTGCTGAGCAAGATTAGTGCCCTTCCCTAATGTGGGCTGTAAAACAGAGGCTCCACAGTGGAGGACTTTGTTTTTGCTGGTGAGCTGAGCTCCAGCTGCTCCAGGAGCAGTAGCAGGGCTGTGATGCTGGGGACAGAGCCCTGCAGCCCCCCTGTGGGGTGAGCTCTCAACTCCACAGCACTGGGCTGGTGCCTTGAGAGGCTTCCTAGAACAGAGGCTGGGCAGAGTTAAATTAATAAAGCAGAGATTTATTAAAAGGCCTTCAAAGGATGCACCTTGGGCAGTGCAGGAGCTCATCCAGGGCTACACCCAAGCTGGACAGCATTGTCTGGAGTTTTCACACTTTTATGAGTTTTGGTCCATTTCCATATTGGTTTAATTGGCCGATTCCAGCTCCAGGTTGTGCAGTCTCATCCTCCCGGTTTGCTCCCCTCCATTCCCTGTTGATTGCACTTTTTGGGGCTGGAGCTGCAGCTGTCCTTGGTTCTGGGGCTGGAAAAGGATTGTTCTGTGGGACAGATCTGTGAGGAGAGCTGCTGACACTTTATATGGCGTTCAGAAATGCACACTGACACAGTACAGAATCTGGAAAACATGAAAGCTGAGAGGCATCAGGCAGCGTGCAGGACGTGGATGGCCTGAAGCCCTGAGGAGCAGCAGGGCCATGATGCTGTGTGGAGGCTGCCCTGAAGCCAGGAGCCATCCCCTCTGCTTGGGAGCAAACCCCTGGTGGCACAAGGGGCGTCTTGGCCGCTCCTCTCCTGCGTGCAGCTTCTTTTGGTGCATGGGTTCTGTGGCTCTGCATGCCTGGCCACCTCTCTGGTGTGCCTGGGCTTCACAGTGGCTCTGGGTGAAGCAACAGAGGGGGTTTACAGTTTTATCTTCAATTTCTTGGGTAATGAGTTGGGAAAGAGCACTTTGTGTCTGCAAGAATCCAACCTGTCAGGGGTGCCTGGCTCCTGGGCTGCCCTCTCCTCCTGCCAGACCCTAACCCTGCTTGGGGTGGGGGGTTTATATCTGCTTTATATCTGTTCCCACACTGCCTCCCCAGCTGCCCCATGGCTCCTCACTGGGCTTTGGTCTCCCCCAGCAGCAAGCCCAGGCCTGTGCAGCCCATTCTGGCTCGAGGGGCTCTGCCTGGGGGTGGTTGCCATGATCTGCCATCTCTTTGCAGGGAGTACAGGGTTAAAACAAATATCACCTTCCATGACAACGACACTGTTTCCTACCTGGAGTACCGGCACCTTTTCTTCCAGCCAGACCTGTCTAATGGCACAGAGGATGAGTACATTGTTGTGCCAAACATCATGTTGATGGTAAGTGCTTCTTGCCTGGATGGGTTCCACCTTCTGAGCTTGCAGGGCGGGTGGTGATAGCCAGCATTGAATTACTGAATCACTTTCTTGTAGGGCTTGGGGCTGATCATGCAATGAGGTGGTTAAGCTTATATAATGCAATTTTCTGCTTTGTGGGTGTTAATTGTTCTGTTAGGCTGCTGCTGTTCCAAAACCAGAGTGTGCAGAGCAGCTGGTCTTGAGTCTGCGGCCTCATCTGAGCATCCTGTGGGGAAATCAAGCCTGGGAGCCCTCAACTGCTTTCTTCCCCAACGAGGAACAAATGAAAAACCTCAGTCTGCCCAGAGCATTTCTCTGGGGCTATGGATGGGAGCAGCAGAACGATTTGGGTTAACACCAGAAATGCTTCATCTTTGCTAAAGATGGGCCTCTCATCGCAGACATTTGTTTCCTTTCTCAGGGAGCAGCTGTGATGGTGGAAAAACTGCCAGATTTTGTGAAGCTTTTGCTGAGTGGAGCCCTGGCTAGCCTGAAGCAGCAGGCGTTCATGAACCGCACCGTGGGCGAGATCATGTGGGGCTACGAAGACCCCCTGATAGATGCAATAAATATGATTATTCCTGGCCTGCTCCCTTTCAAGGGGAAGTTTGGATTATTCATGGACGTAAGTGTTGGTTGGGAATGCTAAAATCCCAGCAATATTGATCTTGGGGTAGCTCAGACACTGAGCTGAGCAGAAGCTGATGGGGCAGCCAGAGTCAGGCACGTGTGGTGTGCAGGGGATTAAACAATCATTCCTTCCTTCTCTCTGCAGTTCAACAACTCCAACTCGGGGCTGTTCACAGTAAACACAGGCATGAACAACATCAGCCAGGTTCACATGGTGGATTCATGGAATGGGCTCAAGAAGGTGAGAGTCTGGCAGCCAAGCCTGAATAATGGGGAGTGCCTGCTTAAAGCAGGGTCAGCTGAAAGCTCTGGTGTGAAGAAAAGTTTCTACAGGACTTCAAGTGCTGCAATTTCTGTTTCAGCAAGTTGCCAGGAGGCAGCCATGTGGCAAGGGGCTTTTCAGGAAGCAGTAAATTCATCTCCTCATGGGTTTTTCACTTGCACTCCCTTGAAGTGCTGTTGGGGCTGGTTGCCTCTAATGGTTGGAGTCTCAGGCTCCTGTGGCCTCTGTTGAAGGTGTTAAATGCTCTCGTTTTAAAGGATGCTTTACTCTTCCCTTGTGGAATTCTGCTCCAAAGTAAATCAGCTGAATGTAGGATCAGGGCAGGGGGATCTTGTCCATCAATTGTTTGGCTCACAGAATCATGGAGGGTGGAATACATGCTTAAGATAGGAGAGAACGTTGGTGCTGCTGTGGAAGCAGCGTGGGGTGGTGGACATTCCATGCAGCTCATCCCTCTGAGTTCTCCTCTCTCCACCTGTCCCACAGGTGAACTACTGGAGGAGCAGCCAGTGCAACATGATCAACGGGACAGCAGGGGAGATGTGGCCACCCTTCATGTCCCCAACCTCCCTGCAGTTCTACAGCCCTGATGCCTGCAGGTGAGGCCACAGCTGCCAGCCTGTCCCCATGCAGGTGGCAGGACAGGCTGCACCCGCCCTGCACACACACAGGGCTCAGGAATTGTTCCTGTAGCTAAAGGTCAGCTGCAGTTGGGGTCTGAGTTATCTCTGAGCTTTGCAAACAGAGTAGTTGTCTCATTGTCAGCATCTTGTGGTGTCCATAAATACCTTCCAGATCACTGGACATGTCCAGCTTGCCCAGTTTAATCAGCACAAAAGAGCCAGATGTGGTTATCTGATGTGGATAAGATGTGGGCAGTTAGAAGGAGAAGTAAGGGTTGTCAGAGGGAAATGGAACTGTAACTGCAGAACTTTCAGCTGACTGGACACTTGGAGAAATTATGGCTGGGAGGAAATTCATGCTGCCATTTCCAGGCTCTTTCTTATTCTTTTTTTTTTTCTTTTTCTTTTTTTTTTTTTTTTCCTTTTGCTTGTGTAAGACACCCTGACCTTAGCTGATCACCCAGGGGTTAAAGTACCCCTCAGAGCCAGCCTGTGTGCCTGTGCCTGAGGCTGGAAGGAGGGAAGCAGGCACAAAACCCCTGTCCCTGGCCTGGGAAGACGGTGTAATTCCAGCTTTGTAGATAGTGCTGCAAAACAAGCAAGTGCTCATGTTGAACAGAGAACAATGAGCAGTGAACAAACAGCTGAGCTGGGAACAGCACAAGGGTTTCTCTGCACAAGGGACATCAGCAAACACCAGAGTGACCTGGAGACAGGAATCTACAGGGAAGTTTACCTGTAGCTGGAGTTTAAACACATACCTGTTCCTGTTTGGGGACCTCTGGAACAGGGCATGTTCCAGTGAAGGGGAGGAAACCCAGCTTGGTTTCTTGTTGGCACAGGAGTTTCCTGTCACACAGAGCTGTGGGGAAGTGGCTCAGCTTCTCACACAGTGCTGTGTCTCCTCCCCAGCCCTCTGCCTCAGCCTCTGCTGCCAGTCACACCCAAGAGCTGGGCTCAGAGCATTCCTGCCTCTGCTCTGTGCACATGAAGTGCAGCTGATGCTGAGAGGCAGCCACCAAGGTTTTGTCCTGCTGCTGGGCTGCAGCAAGCTCTGCCTCCTCACTGGGAGGTGAGCAGAGCCAAGAGGCCCATCTGAAACTGCTGAACATGCCCTGAACCCCCCATCCTTGCTCCCAGCACGAGGAGGGACCATTCCTCCGTGGGAATGAGCATCCCCTTGGCCTGCCCAGGCTGTCCTGGCAGCCCACTGTCACCCATTCTGTGATTCTCTGCAAGCCTCACTCAAGTGTGAAGGGAGCAAATTTTTGTCCTGGAAACTTGCACCAAACCTGGCCAGCAATATTGCAGCACAAAATCAACAGCCTCTAGTAGGATGAAAAAAAATCTTGCTGTGTCATGTAGGGAAATTTTCCACTGCCCTGGAAGTCTGCTGCTGGAGTGGGCCTGCAAAAGAGAGATTTATCCAGTGTCCCTGCCCTGTAACGGAGCACCTCAGAGCCAGGGCTTGCATAAAGTGGGTATTATCTCTTGGAGAGCAGCCCTGGGGATTACTGCATGCCTTTAAACAAATCTCACCTGGATAGAACAAACAGACAACTTAAAAGCCTGTGGTTTCTCTCCCTGACTAGTCCTGACCAACCCTTTAGATGTGCTTAAAACATGGAAAGCAAAAGGTTTAAATCCTCATTCCCCGAAGCACTGCCGAGGCTTTATCTTGATCTCAAAGTCTAAGTTACATTGCAACTGCATCTTATCCAGGCAAGATAAGAACCCACAGCTGTGCTGGGAGCCTGTTGGCCAATGCTGATCCCTCTCCCCTGAACCATTGCAGATCCTTGACGCTGGTGTACGAGCAGGCTGGGCAGTTCCAGGGTGTGCCCACCTTTCGCTTCGTGGCACCCAAAACCCTCTTTGCCAACGGCACAGACTACCCACCCAACGAGGGCTTCTGCCCCTGCCTGCAGTCTGGCATCCAGAACGTCAGCACCTGCAGGTTCAGTAAGTCCTTTCCCCCATCCTGGCTCTCCTTAATGGTCCAAAATTAAATTTGAGATGCAACAGAAGCTTGATTGTCTGGAAAAACAGCTCTAGTGCCTCCTGGGCTGCTGAGAAGTACTGGTGGGCTCTCTGCACTCCCACAGGTCTCTCAGCAGTGAGGGAAAGCCCTTGTGCCTGATCTTCAGTGCCCAGCCCTGTGAGAGCCTGGCATCTGTGGGAATACAAATACCCACGGGGTACAGTGGGAGCATTGCATCCCCTGGGCGGCTGGGGGGAGCAAGGAGGAGGCAGCCCACACAGCTCCCAGATCAAATGTTAGCTTTGGACACGGAGAGTGTGTGTGACAGGCCAGACTGGGTGTCCCTAGCTGGTGTCTGGGCACAGGAGGTACCTTGGCATGGTGGTGGGACAGGGTAGGGGGTCCTGAACCCTCCCAGGTCAGTGGAACAACCTGCAGGGAGGGAGGGGGTGGAGATTACTGGCTGGGAGGAGAAGTTATAAAATCCTGTCCAGAACAAGTACTGCAAGGCCTTAAAGACCTCAAAAAAAGCTTTTAGTTGGGTGTGGAGCAGCTTAAGATGCCTTTAATCTCCCCCAGATGCACCGATGTTCATTTCCCACCCTCACTTCTACAACGCCGACCCGTCCCTGGTGAATGCAGTGGAAGGCCTGCACCCCACCAAGGAGCAGCACGGGCTTTTCCTGGATGTGCACCCCGTGAGTGAGCCCCCCCAGGGTCCCCCCTGACCCCAGGGACCTGCCCAGCCCGGGGGGGACCCTGCCATTAGCCGAGTGCTGGCACCACTCTGCTCTCGTGGCGCTGATCCCAGCAGGTTCCAGAGTGCAAAGACTGGCGAGGGCATGTGCAGATAAAAATGTCAAAGCCATAAACTAATTGAATAATTAGCCTGGCTTCTAGAGAATTGCGGAACTAATTATAAACATAATTGTTTCGATAAGCACAGTGAAACTCTTTCTACTGACTCAGGCCTATAACACCAGGAGGTGTATCTGGCAGCAGCCCAGCTCTGCCCCAACTCTGCCAGTGCACATTGCCATGAGAAATGGCTGGCAGAGCCTGAGGACCACGCTGTGCCTCAAGCTGGCACCTCCATTTCTGGGCTGGCACCTCCATTTTTGGGCTGGCTTCTTCCCCTCTCTCAGCCTGCCCATCTGGAACTGCTTTTGCACTGGGCTGCTGCTGTTACACCCCTCCTGTACCCCAATGTGAGGGTGAAGTCGCCACTCCAGAGAGGTGATTTGGGCTGTCCTGAGGTATCCCTGTCCCAGCTGCTGATGGCAAAGGGACTTTGAGATTTTCCACCCACAGCCTGTGTTGTGTGAGGTCAGTTTTTCTAAATGTTCAGTGATACTTGCTCAAGCAAAAAAAAACCTGTTTCCCTCTTGAGGTGAGGTAAACTGTGTGTGTTATCTCAACATTGGGTTCTTACTGCTTTTCTTATCGCAGTTATGAAAATCTAATTAAGTTTATTACAGTATCAAACATCTCCTGATAACAGTACAGTTAACTGTGTTTTTATCTAGCTGCAGGCTGCTGACTACAAACAGGGACGGTCCAACAAAAATTCTCTGCTTGTAAAAATGTGTTGCAAAACTGCAGAGTCATGAGAAACCAATGTCTTAATGGGTGTCAACATGACCAGCTTTGCAGTGTGATGTTTTTCATGGGCTTGGAATGTTGGACAGGGTCTGTTGGTCCCAAGAAGTCACTGATGAAGTGTTCCCTTCCTCTGCAGATGACAGGCATCCCCATGAACTGCTCCATCAAGCTGCAGCTGAACCTGTACATAAAGCACGTGTCTGGTATCATGTAAGTGCTCACCTCCTAGAAATGTCCATCTGCCTTCCCTGAGCAGGGAGTTCTGCTGGTGCTGAGCTTGCTGCAGAGTTTACTCTCTGCAAAGCTTTACCATGGGCAGTTGTGCCATTGCTGGAGCCAGCTGGCTCCTCTTGAAACATCAGCCATTGCAGTGACCACAAATTCCATCCCTTAGCAGTGCAGAGAGTGGCTGCCTGTTTGCTCAGCTGGGGCAGTGTCCCTGTCTCTCACCAGACAGCTGAGGGAGGGACTGTTCCTCCTGCAGGGGCAGGAGCTGTTCTCCTCCATGTGCTGCCTCTCAGGAGAGGCAAACCCACTCTGTCTGTGGGGTAGAGAGTGAAACCTGTGTCCACGAGGCACTTCCAGCTCTGTGAAAGCCAACAGGACCAGACTATGTGGTGCCAGATGTTAAATACCAGCAAGGGTGAGAGTGTGCTCTTGCTGCTTGGGCTGAGGGGCAAAGCCCTGCAGAGAGCCCCCATGGTGCCCCCCAAGTGACTGAGACAGGAGCTTTAGAACTTGAGCATTCTGCTTCCCCGAGTTCCGTCTCCCTGGAGCCCAGCCTTGGGATGGCACTTCCCAGGCAGTTAAACCCCTATGGAAGCACAAGCTCTGCTCCTGCATGGAAAGCACCTGGTCCCCAAGGTGGGAGCAGCTCACTGGAGCAGCAGGGATTGCCACCCCCTCATGGTTTCCTGGCCACTGTCAGTCTGTCACACGTGTCCCCTCAGCAAGAATTGTGCTGCTAATTGTCACCTGATCAACCATAAACCTAAGCTTGTGTTTCTTTTTTCATTTTCTTCCCCCCCCAGTCAAACAGGGCAGATTAAGCCCGTGGTCCTGCCGCTGCTGTGGTTTGCAGAGGTGAGCTGCCTTCCTCAGCCTGGTTCTGCAGGGCCTCTCCTGCTTCCCCATCACCCAGTGCTGGGGAAACTCCACTTTGCATAAAGCTTTAAGCCAGCCAGACTAATTAAGCACCAACAGAAGGCTTTTCAATACTTGGCTATGCCATTAATCCCTCTGAGCTGAACAAACCCTGCTCTATACTTGGTAAATCTCTGGCTCTGCCCTAGATGTGGGGTTAAGTGGGGCCCTGGACAGAGCTGCCAGCATCCCTGTCCTCCTGTGGGCCTGGGAGTGCAGCCTCCAGCTGACTCCTGCTATTCAGTAAAAGCTTTTAGCCTGGCTGAACCTTGCATAAATTCCCTAATTTATGCTGGGAGGTGGTGGGAGAGGAACCATTCAGCTGGTCTCAGCCTGGATGGAGGGAGATGCCACTGACAGGTTGCTTTTTTGGGCAGAGTGGATCCATTGAAGGCTCAGTGCTGAAGCAGTTTTACACCAACCTGGTGCTGCTGCCCTTGGTGCTGGAGTACCTGCAGTACATCCTCCTTGGCCTCAGTGTCCCTCTCATTGTCTCAGCAGCTCTCCTGATGGCAAGGAGGAAGGTAAGACCCTGCAGGTGCCTGTGGAAGTGCTGTCAGTCAAATCACACTCAATCAGAGGCTGTAGTTTGGGCTGCCAATCTAACCTGTCTGAGGAAACACTGGCTGATGCCACCAACAATCTCCTGCTGGTGCCAGCAGATAGCAGCAGAGCCATCTAGAAACTGGGCTGCAAATAGGTAACACGAAGCACTTCTGGTGTTTTTGGTGCACAGCAGTAATGGAAGTGGCTGCCTGGAGGAGGAGGAGGTGGAGGTATTTCTCAGCTCACCCAGCTAATGGAGGAGCAATCCTAGTTTATCAAGCCAACCTCCCTAGAAGGCAGCAGCAGGTCTGTGCTGTTGCACAGATCTGCATCCCTGCAGGCTCCCAGCGTTTTTCCAGTCAGAGCAGAGCCTTCTCCAGAGGATGGAGCTGTTTGAACACAGCCTGTAAATGAAATGCAGTTGCTGTGTTCTTGCAGAGGGGACACAGCCACTGTGGCTGCTCCTCAGCCCAGCACAGATTCTGTGTTTCCTTGGAACACCCTTGCTGTGCAAACTGCTCCAAAGAGCTCTGTGACCGTGCTCACAGGGGTCCCAGGATGAGGGAAGAGACCAGGAGCTGACTCCATGTTTCAGAAGGCTGATTTATTACTTTATGATATATATTATATTAAAACTATACTAAAAGAATAGAAGAAAGGATTTCCTCAGAAAGCTAGCTAAGAATAGAAGAGAAAGAATGATAACAAAGGCTTCTGTCTCAGACTCTGTCTGAGCCAGCTGGGCTGTGATTGGCCATTAATTAGAAACAACCACATGAGCCCAATCCCAGATGCACCTGTTGCATTCCACAGCAGCAGATAACCATTGTTTGCATTTTGTTCCTGAGGCCTCTCAGCTTTTCAGGAGGAAGAATCCTAAGGAAAGGATTTTTCATAAAAGATGTTTGTGACAGAGCTCTGGAAGTGAAACCCTCAGAGCCTTTGTGGGTCTGGGCTTGCTGAGAAGTGAAGATCTTTGAAGGCTGCTGGGAGCTGGGCTGTGGGGCAGGCAGTGGGGTGAGGCTGAGCTGTCAGGACTGAATATGGAACAGCCAAAACACTCAGTGCAGGTCTGTGCCTCTGGCTCCACGGTGATCTGGTGACACTGAGCTCTCTGCCAGCTTTAGTTCTGCCAGGAGGGGTCTAACTTCTACCCTAACCCTGTATCAAAGGGAGCTGATTTAGCTCTGCACTGCAGGTGGCTTAGGCTGGCTCTAAAGCTGCAGAGGTGCAGAGGCTGTTGTGGGGATAAAAGGCAGCTCTTGGGATGAGAGCAGGATGAGAGCAGCCTGTGTGAGGGGCTGAGAGCAGGATGAGGGCAGCCTGTGTGAGGGGATGAGAGCAGGATGAGGGCAGCCTGTGTGAGGGGCTGAGAGCAGGATCAGAGCAGGATGAGGGCAGCCTGTGTGAGGGGCTGAGGGCAGCCTGTGTGAGGGGATGAGAGCAGGATGAGGGCAGCCTGTGTGAGGGGCTGAGAGCAGGATCAGAGCAGGATGAGGGCAGCCTGTGTGAGGGGCTGAGAGCAGGATCAGAGCAGGATGAGGGCAGCCTGTGTGAGGGGCTGAGAGCAGGATCAGAGCAGGATGAGGGCAGCCTGTGTGAGGGGCTGAGGGCAGCCTGTGTGAGGGGCTGAGAGCAGGATGAGGGCAGCCTGTGTGAGGGGATGAGGGCAGGATCAGAGCAGGATGAGGGCAGCCTGTGTGAGGGGCTGAGAGCAGGATCAGAGCAGGATGAGGGCAGCCTGTGTGAGGGGCTGAGGGCAGCCTGTGTGAGGGGATGAGAGCAGGATGAGGGCAGCCTGTGTGAGGGGATGAGAGCAGGATCAGAGCAGGATGAGGGGCAGCCTGTGTGAGGGGATGAGAGCAGGATGAGGGCAGCCTGTGTGAGGGGCTGCCTCTGCCCAGCTGCTTCTTGCCCTCCCTGGAACACTGATGCAAACCCACCTTACACAGTGCCAGGGTTCTCGGAGTACCACCTAATTGGATTTTAATCAAGTCTGCAATTACTTAAGTGACTTAAACACATGATCCCAAATCCCCTTGTTCCTCCACACACTTCCCTGCAGGTGGGAGTGATGCTAGGGCCCAGGAGGAGCCCAGAGCTCAGCACCAGGCCCTCTCTGTGCTGCCAAGGTGGTCTGGGGTGAGCTGCTCCCCTTCAGCACGTGTCAGTGGCTGCTGGCTGGCAGACAGGCTGCACTCTGCTGATGAGCCCAGGGGCTCTGAACAAGGGCTGGGCAGCTCTTTCTAACACCTTGTGCAGCCCTGAGCTGGCATTTCCTCACCCTGCTTTGTGCAAGTCTTAATTCCTGCTATCAAAGAGGTTTAGCCATGCTAGAAAGGGTCAGGGAGAAAAGCTGGATTTTTACTCGCTGAAGCCAGCTGAATATCTGCTTGTGAAATATCCCAAACCCAGGCATAAGCCAGCTGTATTTCTGTGCTCAGCCAAAAGAGTCATGCAGTGTTAGAACTAAAAATCAACAGCAGGAAGTGCCTGGCTACCTGGAAAGTGACTAAAAAGCCTCAATGACTTCCCAAATATCTTAGAAAGCTGCACAACACATGAACGTCTCCACCTAAAGAGTAGATAAGGGGTTGTAAACTGGAAGCCAGCGATTTGCAGCCAAGGTGTGTTCCTCATTTGATTGAAGTGTTGCTGATCTAGCTCTGATTGCTTAATCGTGCACAGTTCTGCCTCCCGAAGCCACAGGCGATGTCAGAGGGGACACTGAGCAGGGACATTGTCCCCACCTTCACGTGTCTGGCAGCGTGAAGGGCTCCCTGAACCCAGCTCCTCCCTGGCTGTCCTGTCTCCCTCTGGCTTCTGGAGGGAGCAGTGTGCTCTGAGGCCAGTGCAGATGAGGTGCTGTGAAACACTTAAATCTTAGTCTAGTTTATAGTGGAGCCAGTTTGAAATGCATCTGTTGGACTCACAGCTCTAAAAATGCATGATCTGGGTGTAAAATACCCCCAGGTGTTGTAGCTCCCTGCCACTGTGGCATAATGTGTGCTGACCCTTTCAAAAGGCAAACAGACCATTTTAAAACTGGCTTGACACTGAACAAAATCTTAAATAGGACTTAGCTTAATCTAAATTTTGAAATCTTCATTAATAACTAGATTCTAGTTGAATCAGTGATTTCTCAAATCTCCTCCGAAAATTGGAACCCTCATGAAACCCATGTCTGAGTGCACCATAAACCAGACTGATTGTCTTCTAGGAAAAATGCTCTTTATTTTGGAGTAGCAATAAAAAGAGCTCAGACAGTAATAAGGCAAACCAGGCCACCTCTGCCACAAAGCTGCCTCCAGTTAAGGGGACGGTGTTGCAGGAAGCCAGACTGTAGGTGGGTACTCAGTCAAGGTAACACACTTTTCTCTCCTCCTGATTTGATTAAACTTCACTCAAAACCAATCAAATGAAGCCTTTTGCTGTTCACATCTCCCAGCCATGCCCTCTTGGCGAGCTCTGATGGAGCAATGTTGTCTCATGGCTTTATTTGGGGCAATTTAGATGTCTTAATACTGGCATTTAACCAGGTTGCAAGCACATGCTCTTATTGTTTCTCCTGGTGTACCTGATCTGCAGCCCTAATAATGTCAGCAGGGATCAGGGGAAAAGTAGGATTGGTGTGAGGAAATACTTTTCTTGCCTGTTTTCCCCCCATCTTTGAGCTCCAGAGGTAAGTTAATTTGAATGGGGTAACAGAGGTCAGTCCACTGGTGGGTGTCACCCCTCCCCTCCCCAGAGGAGGGAATTTCTGATGTGTAAAATATCTGGGTTTGTATTACAGGAACACAAAGTCACTGAGTCGTTGAGGTTGAAGGGGCCTCTGGAGGTCATCCCCAATCCCTCTGCTCAGGCAGAGTCACCTAGCTCAGCACCATCTCCAGATGTCTCTTAAGGTCTTCAGGAGTGGAGATTCCCCAGGGCAACCTCTTCCTGTTTTTACAGTTTTCACAGGAAAAAAAAGAAAAGAAAAAAGAAAAAAAAAAAGTATTTCTTAATGTGCAGATGGAATCCCCTTTAGGTGTCCCTTTGCTCTTGTCCTGTCCCTGGACACCACCAAGAAGAGCCTGGCTCTGTACTTACAGCCTGCCTTCAGAACCTTGTTTCCAGTGCTGAGATCCCCCTGAGCCTTCTCTTCTGGAGGCTGGACAGGCCCAGTTCTCAGCCTCTGCTCACATGAGAGTCTCCAGTCCCAAAATCACTCCAGTGCTCCTTTGCTGGACTCTTCCCAGTAGCTCCATCTCTCTCTTGTGCTGGGAAGCCCAGAGCTGCACACAGCGCTCCATGTGTGGCCCCTCCAGTGATGAGCAGGGGGCCAGGATCACTGCAGGAGCTGCTGGCAACACTCCCAGTGCAGCCCAGGACTCAGCTGCCTGCCTTTGCCACCCAGCTCACCCTCAGCTCACTGTCCCCAAGACCCTCAGGTCCTTTTCTGCCAGGCTGCTGCAGAGCTGGTGACCTTTAGGGTGCACTGCTGGGTGGGGCTCTTCATCCTGAGTGAAATCCTTGTACATCCTCTTGTTGGACTTCATGAGGCTCCTTCCAGGCCCTTTCTCAGCCTGCTGAGGGCCCTCTGGTGTACCAGCCACTCCCCCAGGTTTTGCAGATCATTAATAAAGATGTTTAACAGGCCTGGACCCAGATTGACCCCTGGTGTACACTGATGGTTGCTGGCCTCCAACTCAGCTCTCTGGGCCTGGCTGTTCAGCCAGTTCTCAGTCCACCTCACTGCCTCCTCAAACAATCCCAACCCCATCAGCTTCCATGGAAGGTTTTGATGGGAGATGGTGTCCAGTTCTCAGTCCACCTCACTGCCTGCTCAAACAATCCCAACCCCATCAGCTTCCCTGGAATGTTTTTAAGGGAGATGATGCCCAAAGCCTGGAGTGAAGGTAGACAACACCCACTGTTCTCCCAAGCCACTCATTCCATCACAGTTGATCAAGCACAGCTGCCCCTTGCTGAAGCCCAGGGACTGCACTTGATGATTTAATTGTCCTTCATGTGCTGGGAGTGGTTCCTAGAATTACCTGCTGCATCACTTTCTGGAGGATGAAGGGAGGCTGGCTGGTCTGTAGCTCCTGAGATCCTTCTTGATCCTTTTCAAGATCTGCTTTCCTTCAGTCTTTGAGCCAGGACTGGTCAAAGACAGCAGGGAATGGCCCTGCTGTGACATGAGCCCCTTCATCCCATCTTGCTCCATGGATTTGTGCATGTCTAGGTTCCTTCACGTTCTCTGACCTCATCCTCTTCCACCAAGGGTGCAAATTCCTTGTTCTGGACTTTCCCCTGGTTTCTGGGGTCCCCTGCCTCATTCAGGCCCTCATGGTTCCCTCCTCTTTCCTTGGTCACCTGGGTACTCAGAGAAGCCTTTCTTGTCTGACATCCTTGGCTGGATTCAGTTCCAGTTGGGTTTTGGCTTTCCTCTCTTCATCCCTGCATGCTGGGAGAGTTTCCCTGTGTTCCTGCCAGGTTACCTGTCCCTGCTCCCACCTTCCACGTGTCTCCTTTCTGCATTTGTCTTTGGAGCTCCTGGTTCATCCATGTTGCCCTGCTGGCTCAGGATGCTTGTTAGGGTGGAGTGTTCTTCAGCTTGGAGGAGGTGACTCTTGAACATTAACCATCCTTTTTGCCCTGACTGCATCCCCTCACCCAGAGGTCTGTAGACAGTTTTAGACTCATTAAGGTTGAAAATTCCTCCAAGATCCTCAAATCCAAACTTCAGCCAAGTGCTACCATGCCCAAAGAGTCTCCAGGTGTTGCTGGTGGTATCACTGGTGGAGCAGCAATGGGCAATGGTCAGAGGGTTAGAGAAGCCTCACAGTCCCTCCACAACACCCAATCCACGTCCCCAGCCAGCGAAAGGCTCTGGGTGAGGGCCAGGTTGGTGTCCCTGTCCCCAGCAGCAGGAAGTGACCCAGTCCTGTCACCTGCTGCCTCCTCCTGAGGTTCTTGCATTAATTAGGGTCAGGGCCCATGGGATTTAGGGTCAGGGCCCACGTGGTCTGTTGGAGGCTGTATCTGGCTCCTGCTCAGCTCTGAGGGTGGTGAACCTGTTCTGTAGGTGTGTTTGGGTGAGGAGGAGCCATCCTGGTGCCAGAAGGCACCACCTTCCCACTTCCCCAGAGGCTGCACCTGCGTTATCCCAGGAAGGAGCGCTGCCTGTGTGTGCTGCAGCTCCTGCCTGGGCTCTCCAGGCTCTTGTGTCCCTCAGCAGAATGTCCCTGTCCCTTCCATCTTGGATGACTGTCCCACAGCTCCTCCACACAGCTCTTCAGGCTGGGTGCTCGGGTGGTGGTACAGGTGGGCAGGAATGGAAATAATCTGGTTTTGCTGAGGTGAGAGGGACAGAAAGGAGGCACAAAAACGTTCAGTGGAAGAAACGGGTCCTTGGCCGCTGCAAGAGGCTTGGGGTGTGCATGGCCTGGGTGGGGATGTGTGGCACTGCTGTGTGTGGCCAGGCTGTGACCTCTGTCCCTCCCCTGCAGAGAGGAGCTGCCCAGAAGAGCCCCCGAGCCCCCGTCAGGCCGAGCAGAGCCACCCCCTCCTCTGAGACCACCCCACTGCTGCAGGACAGCGACAGCCCCGGGCAGCACGGAGCCCAGGCATGAACCAGCCTGGGACAGCTCCCACTGGGACACCTTCCTGCTGGGACAGCTCCCACTGGGACACCTTCCTGCTGGGACAGCTCCTGCTGGGACACCTTCCTGCTGGGACAGCTCCCATGGGGACAGCTCCCACTGGGACACCTTCCTGCTGGGACAGCTCCCACTGGGACACCTTCCTGCTGGGACAGCTCCCATGGGGACAGCTCCCACTGGGACACCTTCCTGCTGGGACAGCTCCCACTGGGACACCTTCCTGCTGGGACAGCGACAGCCCTGGGCAGCATGGAGCCCAGGCATGAACCAGGACAGCCCTGGGCAGCATGGAGCTGAACCAGCCTGGGACACCCTCCTGCTGGGACAGCCCTGGACCGCACAGAGCCCAGGCCTGAGCCAGCCTGAGATAGCTCCTGCTGGGACAGCTCCTGGTGGGACACCTTCCCATGGGGACATGGATCCCACTGGGACACACGTCCCACTGGGACAGCTCCCCACAGGGACATGGATCCCATGGGGACAGCTCCCACTGGGACATGGATCCCATGGGAACAGCTCCCACTGGGACATGGATCCCATGGGGGTAGCTCCCACTGGGACAGCTCCCTCTGTGACACAGCCATGCTGCAGGTGACACCGCATCAGATCCCCAGAGCCCTCTGGAAGGTGAAGTCCTGGACAGCTCAGCAGAGATCCTGCACAGCACAGCACAGCAAAAGCGTGGGATGGTCCTGCTGCTCAGCATTCCTGCTCATCCAGAAACCTCAACACAGTGTTCAAGAACCCTTTTGTCCTCAAGGGCCAGCCTGAGCCACTGCCCTTCTCTCCGGTGGAATGAAGGAATGAAGATCGGTAGAATGAAGGAATGAAGATCAGTAGAATGAAGGAATGAAGATCGTTGCTGACTGATCTGAGAAGTTATTTGCAATTTAAAACTGCCTACTGCTAGGGATAAAAGGCACTTTAATGGCAGCCTTTAAAATAAATGAAGTTTGTATAGGTAGCACTGATGGGATTTAGTGATCTTTTTAAAAGCCACTGTTCATCTCACCAAATGGGGCACGCTGTCCTGGAGCCACTCACAGTTTTATTGCCACTTGATGTCACTGGACTGTGCTGCAAATAATTTCTGGGGGCTGTCACTCCAGTGATGTCTCTTCCCACAGTACCTGGAGCCTGCCTGGGGTTGCTGCAGCCTCTGCACGTGTTGGGGAGCAGTGGTGCCTTTGAGAGCCCCAGCTCTGTGCCCTGACCTTGTGCTCCACAGCCATCCCAGCTCTCAGCCCTGCTGCTTCATCTCTCCTGGCTCTGGGTGCCTGTGTGAGATGAGCCTTGGCAGGAGCTGGGGGTACATCTGAGCTGTCACTCAGCTCCTGGCAGCTGTCCCTGCTGCCTGCTCAGCCATCTGGGATCAGCTCCTCTGGCCGTGGGCACTGGGAGGCACTGGGGGGCACTGGGGGGCACTGGTCACCCTGGCTGGCCATGGGGAGGGGGAGGCTTGGCCCTGTCCTGGTGTGTTAATGAAGATATTTGTGCTTTTGAGAAGCAGGAATATGTGCAATCATGGAAGTAACAATGGCCTTAAGTGGGGTTTGAATAAAGTATTGCAGATTTCTGAACTGGTGTGTTGGGTGACCTGGGGCTGGATCTCACCTGGGGCTGGGTGGTCTTGGGCCACACTTTGGTGGGGAGGAACCCATGGCCACTGCTGCTGGGTTATCTCTGTCACAAATCCTCACTGAGAGCGATCCTTAAACTGCAGCTGTGAGCTCGCTCTGCCCTTGAATCCGGGTGTATCCATGGGGAAAGGGGCCGGGAGTGGGAACATCAGAGGGTGCAGCAGCAATAACCACACGTGGGCTCCTGTGAGAGGCTGTGACGGCATTACGGTGCGAACTGCAGCCAGACACGAATAAAGCACGGGAACAGCGCTCTGAGCAGCAGCCCTGGCGGGTGTTTTTGGGGGTTTTGCAGAAGATGACGGGACAGGAGCGGGACCGGAGCTCCTCACTCTGAGCGCGCTGCGGCCGCGGCTCGGGAGCGCTGCAGCACCGCCGGGAGCCGCCGGAGGGCGCTGTGGGGCCACGGACACTGCGGGGACAGGGGGACGGGGGGACAGAGGGACACAGGGGTCTGACCCTGGGGGACAGAGGAGGACAGAGGGTCTGATCATGGGGGACAGCGGGACCCGGGAATGGGGGGGACAGGAGTTCTGATCCTGGGGGACAGAAGGACTCGGGAACAGGGGGGACAGAGGGTCTGATCCTGGGGGACAGAGGGACACGGGCACAGGGGGCACAGAGGGTCTGATCCTGGGGGACAGAGGGATATGGGGTCTGATCCTGGGGGACAGAGGGCCCCGGGCACGGTCAGAGATCCTCAGCACTGATCCCCTGCCCCAAACCCCGCCGTGTGTCTGTCCATGGGCACATAGCACTCAAGTTGTTTTCCCCCTGTACTTCAGTCACCTTGTTGGCTGCTTGTGAATTCTCCAGCTCGTTTTAAAATGCTTCTCACACGCCGAGTCTGTCCCTGGCTCTGAGTCACTGTCCCTTGCCAATTCCCTCTGTACAGGGCGTGCAGGGATGCCCCTGGTGCAGCACCCTCCCTGTGCCAGGCCGGGCTAGGTTGGAGTCATTCACCCTCTCCCGAGGATTTTAATTGGCCCCCACAGGCTCAGTTATCATCACAACAATCTCGATTTACTGTGGGAGCCGCCTTTCACCCGGCCTGGCACAGCCATGGGAAATGAACGAGTCATCTCCATCCTCCAGGCACTTCATCACCGAGGGGGAGCTGTCAGGGCTTGGTGTCACTTCCCCCACCGTGTGACAGAGGCTCCACTGTCCCCTCTGGAACAGAGGAAAGAGATAACAGCCCCCTTCATCCACACTGGGGCGCTTTTATTAACGCAGCATAGAGGATTTCCCATTCCCTGTACCCATCTCTACCTCACCTTTCCTGAAGCCCCAGAGGATGGCAGGGGTGGGGGGACAGGGCAGAGCTTCAGTAATCTCTGTGTTATCCCCTTCACCTGTGCCCACCTACACCAGGAACAATCTCTGTGTTATCCCCTTCATCTGTACCCCATCTACACCAGGAACAATCTCTGTGTTATCCCCCTGACCTGTGCCCATCACTGCCAGGTGTTCATCGTTACCTGTTCTGGGTTAAACCCTGCTGGGCAGGCAGGGCTCAGTTTTGGGTTCTGTGAGTCCCTGCTCTGGTGTGTGCTTGCTCTGCTGCTCCTCATGGCAGCCAGGGCTGTTCCTGAGCTCTGGCTCTGCTCTCCTGCACAGGCTCCTCCAGCAGTGACTGAGTCCTCCAACGCTGCAGGATGGTGAGTGGGGCTGGTGCTGGGGTGGTTGTGGGCGTGTGGGTCTCTTGGGGCAGGGTTTGGGCTCTTCTTGCTTTAAAAAAAACCCCAAAAAGCAACCAAACAGCAACGTGGAGCTGTTGCAGTTATTGGTGGTGTTTGATGGACAAGTGTTTTCCTTCCTGGATGCTGTAGGTTATCTAGCTTTGTGGGACTGCAGGACTCAAAACCCAGGCAAGAGATGCCTGGAGGAGTTGAAGTGACTTGTAGCACCTGGTTTCTCCTGTGTTTGGCCACGATGAACCTCTCTGTCTGGGAGAGAGTTGCTGGAGGGAGGAGAAGCAGCTCCTGTGGTTTTGGAGCAGAGCCTGGGCTGTGCCTGGGCACTGCAGGGTTTGTGCTCCTGTGCTGGAACCCTTGGGCAGGGCTCTGTGGTGCAGGATCCAGCTCAAACCATCCCCTCCTGTGTGCAGCAGCCTGGGCCCTGCTCCCAGGCTCTGTGAGGGGCTCTGTGCTGATATTTAAGCTCCTTCCCAGCGTGGCCCAGAGCTGGAGGTGCCGCAGTGCCCTCTGTGCTTGGCCAGCTCTGTGTAGCCTCTGCTGTCAGCCAGGAGGTGCCAGGGATCCCTGCCCTGTCCCTCCCCTGCCAGCACAGCCTGGGGTGACCCCAGCATCACCGCGGGGTGAGCCCTGCTCCGGGCATCCCCTCCCCTGGTGGGAATGGGTTGAGTCCGGGTGTGTTTGTGTGGCAGAGAGCAGATAGGGGCTCTCAGGGGTGTGCTGCGTGTCACGGTGCTTAGTGCCTCGTTGAAGGAGTGTGAGTGAATGTCCTTCCTCCTCCTGCTCTTGAGGAGCTTCATTTTACTGCCTTGCCAGTCACTGGAGTCAGGGCTGGGCCATTTCTGGGAATCAGCCTGGCTGTGCACAAGTTCCTCCACCCAGGGCTGCTAGAAACTCTCCTGCTCTTCAAAAAGGGAAACAAAACCCCCTGGACTTGTTGCTTTGTGCTGTTGTTTTTACTGAGGTGCCCTGGCAGCGAGAGCGGGGGGCTCAGCCCATCCCTTTGGGGTGCCCCATCCTTGCTGCTGTGGGCACAGGGCTTCCCAAGCCACCCCAGTGCCACCTCCTCGTGGCTGTTTGTGTCCCAAATCCAGAGTGCAGCCCCACGTGGAGCCCCTGTTTCCCTTCCCCAGCCAGGTGTGGAAATGCCCCCATTGCAGCAGGGGGGTCCCACTGACCCCAGGCCCGTGGGGCTCGGGGTGTGCAGCCAGCTCAGATCCACGTTCCCTGTGCTTGGGGGCTCCCTGGGAGCACCACAAACAATTCCTAAAAAGGAGCAGTCAGATGGAAAATTGATACCAAATGGTGCTCTCAGTCCCTGGAGGAGCAAGGTTTGATGCCTCAGCCTGCGGTTCCTGGGGGCTGGGACAGAGGCACACAACGCTATTTTAGAGACATTTCCTTTTATAAAGTTTATTATTTCCCTCCTTTCGTAAGTTCCTGATTTTCCCAGATACAAACTGCATTCAGGTTTGGCGCTGATGGTCTGAGCTGCTGCTGTGGGGATGTGTGGTGTCTGAGGATGAGGAGGGTCTGGGAGCTGTACCCAGGTCTGAGAGCTGTGCCCAGCCCTTCCCCAGCTGCTTTTTGGGTTCTGTAGGACCAAGGGCCATCCCCAGCAGCTCAGGGGCTTTGCCCCACAGGGTTCTCCTCAGGAGGACACAATC